AGTTTTTACTTCGTCCAAATCAATTCACCAGCAATAATCCCGGGAGGAAATATTCAGAAAATCCCGAGCAGCCTTATTCGCAATAAAACTATTAAGACCCAAACTAAAATTATTGCTTTTTCCGCATTTCTGAATAAAATTTTACCACCTTCCTGGAGCATATTCTTCAAAAACCTCAAAACGAACTTTTGCCTCACCTTAGTCTAAACTGTATGACTTTGCTTATGTCGCTGAATTCTGGAATAGCAGATTCAAGTTGTAATAGTAAGGTTGAATATTAATGAAATATTTTCCTACATTAACTAATAAGCCATAATACTACAATGATGCCATTTTGATTGAACGAACAGCTAATCAGTCTATGATGTCATAAACATTTGTGTTATGGTGGTATGCTTAAAGATGGAGTTGATGGGTCGATAGGTACCCGAGCAAAGCAAGAGATCACATTGAAATCAAAATTTGCTGTTATGATGTAACTTATTTTGAATACTCCAGTTAATTTAATTTTGGTTGACTTAACGGTTAACACAGCAACAATTAGAGAAATTTGTTTGACTTAACGGTTAACACAGCAAAAATTAGAGCAAAACACTGTTGAATCAAACGGAAAACTAATCCTGCTTTCAATTAAATCAACTGGGTTGGTCATTAAATTTTAATACTTCTAGAAGAATCACCATAATATATTGTAAGTTGAATTAAATATGTGACCTTAAAAGCAAACAGACAAAGTAGGATATCGATCAATTTTCTTTTATTAACTACTAGCTGAACCCCGTGCGAGCGTCGCTACGATTCGATTAAATGAACGAAAATTAAATAGAATAGTTATGGGAGGGGTCTCGAACGATCATAAGAACCTATCCTGGCCCCAAAAACCCCTGCATACAAATTTTCACGCCGTTCGGTTCAGTAGTTTCCGAGCCATAAGGGTCAGAAAGACAAACAGAATTTAATTTTTATATATAGAGAGTCACTTTTACACTCTTGGGTCATTCTTGATTTGTCCGGGCATGAGATTTGAACTCGTTAATTTGGTTTAATAGTTATGCCGTCCCTAATCAACCTATCAATTTAAATTTTATTCTGACGTATTTTCCTGTAATCGTCAACATCAATCACAAGCAACGCCTCACACGCATTATTAAATTCAACGGGGGAAATGAAGTTCAGCTGAATCGAAAGCAATCTATGAATAAATATATAAATTTCCCGGGAAATTCAGGAATCCTGAAAAACGAAAATTTTGTTCCCGCGAATCGGAATTCCGGGAATTCTAATTTTCCGAGAAATCATTAACGGGATTGGAAACCCTAGTTATATACAGTCGTTTTGTTGCGTGATTTACCAGGAAAATATAAATAATCAAATAAGCCAGTAGTACTGTGACCTATCCTAATTCCGCGCTGCGCCGTGGATTTGACAATAAACTTGAATATTTTGCATTTATATTGATTTTTTTTAAAATAATATTCGCATGTGTATCTCAAATTGATCGTACAGCAGTAAAGGGTGATACGGTCAAAATTTGGTCAAGGGAAAACGCGTGTAAATCGGTGAAATCGTTTATTTAAAAAATCAAATTAAATTTCTTTTTCAAGTTCAATTAGTATAAAATTCAGGAAAAATATTCAGTTAGGCTTCCGCTTTTCCAAATCCGAATTGCCGGGCCTTACGCTTGACCCCTGCCATCAGATTTTGTACAGCCACCTTGTCCACCTTCTTCGCCGCAGAAAGCCAGTTTGCCTTGAACTGCTGCTCGCCCTTAGCAGTTTTTTTGGTCTTCTTTAGGTTCCGCTTGACAATAGCCCAGTATTTCTCAATTGGGCGGAGCTCTGGCGTGTTGGGAGGGTTCTTGTCCTTGGGAACCACCTGCACGTTGTTGGCGGCGTACCACTCCATGGCCTTTGTACCGTAATGGCAAGATGTCAAATCCGGCCAAAACAGTACGGAACAACCGTGTTTCTTCAGGAAAGGCAGCAGACGTTTATTCAAACACTCTTTCACGTAAATTTCTTGGTTGATAGTCCCGGAAGCTATGAAAATGCTGCTTTTCAAGCCACAGGTACAGATGGCTTGCCAAACCAGATATTTCTTTGCGAACTTTGACAGTTTCATGTGCTTGAAAACATCTGCTACCTTTCCCCTTCCTTTTGCCGTATAAAACTCCTGTCCCGGAAACTGCTTGTAGTCGGCTTTGACGTAGGTTTCGTCGTCCATTACCACGCAGTCAAACTTCGTCAGCATCGTCGTGTACAGCCTCCGGGATCGCGCTTTGGCCGTCGTATTTTGTTTATCATCGCGATTTGGAGTCACTACCTTCTTGTAAGTCGATAGTCCGGCTCGTTTTTTGGCTCGATGCACGGTTGTAGACGATACACCCAGCTTATTTGCGGCATCTCGGAGAGAGAGGTTAGGGTTTCGCTTGAAACTACCGGCAACTCTCTTTGTCGTCTCAGCGGCTTCCGGTTTTCGATTTCCCCCCGATCCAGACTTCCTGGCTGTCGACAAACGTTCCCCAAACACTTTAATTACATTTGTAACGGTTGATTTGGCAACTTTTAGCGATTTTGCCAACTTTGCGTGCGAGTAGCTCGGATTTTCGCGATGCGCGAGCAAAATTTTGATACGCTGCTCTTCTTGCTTGGACGGCATTTTGACAACTGAAGAGTGAATTCCAAAATCAAAATAGGAGCAACATTCTACACACACACACCTTCAAAATGAGGGGTGTTCAGGTTTTTTAAATGCAAAATTGAAAGAAATACGTCAAGTTGATATTGACCAAATTTTGATCGTATCACCCTTTACTTAAATTTTAGAAAAACGGCTCTAAAAGCACAATTTAAAAAGATACGTCTCTGAATTTTTGGTAGTAATCGTTGGCTCAGTGTTGGGCATATTTGGTTGAGTTTACAAAAAGTTAGAGCAGTTTAAGGAAAACGCATTTTTCTTGAAAAATCTTATTTTCTTGAAATAAAATGAACATAACTTCTTGAAATTTTGCTCGTTTTTAGTCGTGTAAAGATCATTCATTTGCCACTAATTTGACTAAAATTCGTCCACTAGTTAAAACTTGAAAATCGAGCGTTTTACTAAAATAAATCTAACTTCATACAGGTGCATCCAATAAAGACCAAAATTATAGCAATAAATCAATAAACAATTAAAAAATAAGAAGTTTATTCACCATGTTTAAAAAAAAATGTTCTAAGTACGATCCATTTTGAGATACACTGTATGTAAAAAAACAAAATACTGATAGAATAAAAACCACGGGTTTAGGGCACCGCTGTACTTTTTACTGCCTAATACCGTGTTTTGTTTGCAGCAGCAACATTTCTTAATAAAACGTATGGTTTACATTCTGGATCGATTGAACAAGGCTCTGTGTAACGTTAGAAACAGAAGTTCTATACATGATGATGCACCTCGTTTGTTTAATATAAGTGTCATTCTTCAAGTGCGTGGTATTAAGCGCAATCGTATGCTTAAACACTTTTTTTTTTAATTTTTAGGTAATTTTATGATTAATCACTAACACTTTGTTTTCATGATACTGCATGAATCTACCTCCAAAGACCCCCGCTCACATCACTTACGTTACGTGATACTTTGCGCCATAATGATAGCCAAAGCTATTGTCTAAATCCACGCAAACGCAAAGTATCCATTGTGCGTGGCTCTTAACTGTCAGATTTACTGCAACGTATCACTAACGGGCTCAATATGGGTGGGCCTTAAAATACCAATCAGATTGCCATGAATGAGAAAACGAATGGATCACGCTAGGCTTTTTGTTCTAGCCACCTCGCATTTTCTAAGGTCTTATTCCATTACCGAGTTTTTTTTTTCTTTTGAATTACTGTGACAAATATTTTGGAATAATTCATATTGTGAAACGATAATGTTTTACTATTCAATTGCTTGCATAAAAAATATCATGTTTAAAAAAATCGAATAGGAGAGGATATTTATTTCTTTGTCCTTTTATTCGTGTGACTTTCACATGCATAATAAATTTACACTTTATCTATAAAACACGTTTTCAACAAGTTAACTAATCTACACTGATGATATTCAAATTTGATCATTTTTAGTATGATTATGCACACAAATTTTAAAATATGCTCATAACCTCCCTTATAGATCTTCCAAAATTATAATAACAAGTTACAAGGAGTCTATAATCCCATATCAGCCTCATATGGAAAAAGTAGGCATTGAAAAAATGGCAGTTGAAGTTACGGCGTACTTCCCATGTAAATATATTAAAAATCATATTAATTTACTAACTCTGTTATTATGGAGACTCCCTTCTGGAGCTCCCACCCATCTCCTAACTCCGTATCCTCGGGGTTCTCCTCTGGAACCTCACATCCCCTTCCTATTAGCTCTGTAATTAGGGGGACTCCCGTCTGAAGTCCCCACCCCTCGTCTTTAAGAGATGAACCAGCCCAAGGCTGAAAATCTCTCTAATAAAGCAAAAAAAAAAAAAAAAAAAAATATTAATTTACTAAATATGTCTATCAAGTTAAAATCAGTTGCAAAGAAGTCTGCATGATTTGTTATATTAGCAGAGAACTTTAACTTGACTTCTAGACGATTGAATTTCAGGATGGGACTGACAAACTGTTTTGATGTTGTTTCACATTTTTCATAATCAAAGTCCGTAGTTTTATCACTTGATATGAAAGTAGATGTCAATTTATAATGGATAGCGTTATTATCTTAAAATTGACGAATATCCATATGAGACTGATATGTATATATGTATTAAACATGAAATCCATCCGGTCATGGTGTTCCAATAGATTTGTCACTGTATTGTATACATATCGGTCTAGTAGAAGTAGTTTAAGTTGTGGAAATAGGTATTATACCTAGATACACCATTGGATGATGTCTACTAATATTACTAATTATTGTCGATATATTAGATGCTTAGTTATTCGTGAATTTGAATAGTATTGAACTAAACATTAATAAATCAACAGCTTTGCCGGATGCATGGAAGTCACCGGTGAAAAATAAACCGAGTAAGCTGCTTGATTAATATTTTTTGTGTAGAGTAAGAATTATATAGATTGGTTTCAAAAAAAAAAAAAAAAAACGTTGAGAATAAAGAATCGGTAAATCGGCAAAATTGAATGGATATTTTCTGCTTCCTGTTTGTGTTGGTGTGATCGTTTGCTTTGGGACTAGCTGTTCATTCATGTACTTCCGGTGGACGCATTATTGCTGAGACCTGATGTATGGCGTAAACAGCTAATTTCAATGTTGCACTATAATGGTACGCTGCATCGTGTTTTGAAGTATTGAGGCAAACAGCATTTACTTACTTGCCGATGGTTTCAGGATCAACTGGTTCACTGAATGATTCTTCATCATGTTCTCGGATTTCACAGCCGAGCAGTTCATGTGACTCAAACCGAAGTGTAGCAGGCAGTACCAATTCTGAAAGAGATCGGGATGTGGATTTGCTTGGTAATGAAAGCGACATAGAAGTTCTCAGCAATCCTAGTCAAAGCAGTATCGAGGTACTGGATCGAGGGTAAGTAATTAGAATTACTTTCTTTTAAGCTCTCTTTCTTCTAAAAAGGTAATTAATTTAATTTATGCTTTTCAGTTTCCATCCAAGTAGGAAACACTCAGAAGAAAGGAAAAATCTCCAATTACCGGGTCTCGAAGCTTTAAACGACGATAGTCTCAACAACATATCAGTTACGCTTACCAACCAAGAGACCTCAACTCATGATCTCATAGCAAAAGTAGCTGATAGTTTTAATAAAATCATAAAATTTGAAGATGCATCTTCTACCGACAAAGAAAACAGTTCATCTCAAAAACCGAATCCAGCGTTACTTTCCCATAAAAAATCGTTCCTTACCGCAGCCAATCTTACCGAGAGCAGCTCTTCGGGCTCAGTGACGGACAGCGTTTGCACTGCTTACGAATCGATTCAAGGTAAGTCAATTCGCTTAATTTCACTTTGTTTCTGGTATTAGAGCTATTCCCCCCTATTCTGCGAGTCACGTGACTCTCTCTCACCGGTGAGGTGACAATAGTCACCTCGTGTGAGGTGACTCTCCATTTGATTTGCATGGAGAGTCACCTCACACGAGGTGACAATTGTCACCTCACCGGTGAGAGAGAGTCACGTGACTCGCAGAATAAGGGGGATTGTTTTAACGGGACTGTACTTAAATAAATGTTATAAAACGCTACCTTATCGGACTACTGGTTTCGGACATATGATCTAAACCTGGGAGTTGGTTCGACTGCACTGCCCATAACCGCAAGTTATTCCCATTTGTAAAAAACGAGAAATCGGCATTGAAAGATTTTACAAGTTTTCTCATCTAACACTTATTTTGGATAGTTTTGAAAACAAATATGCAATGTGATAGAATGCATCTATGTACTAAACATATTGGTTAACATTTCGTGAAATTTTTATTTTATAACTAAAATCAAAGTGGGACTGACTTACAATTAACGTCAATGTGAAAAATAACCGCAAGTCAGTCACAATGCCATGCCGACGGTGCATTATTTTAGCATAGTATTGAACAGTAGAAAGATACCATGGTCTCATAGAACATTATTTAATGTTTTTGGAATCGTTCCGCTGGTGCCAAATCCACCATGCGATAAATCAATTCACATTAGAATTTTAAAAGAAGATAAATAAGTGTCATGCTGAGTATCCAGCAGTTGGTCACATCCAAACATGTTCCGGGTATCCCTGGAGAAGTGATAAAACCTTTTTAATCAAAATCCATCATATGCGATACATCAAATCACATGAAAATTCAGAGGCATAACCATTGGCGGTCATACTGAGGATCGTAAGAACTATATTGGCCACATCCGGATATGTTCCGGATACCCTGTCTTGAGTCAAATCTCATGATGCTATATTTTGTCTAACATTCTTTATTCAATAGAAGCAAGCCTAAACACATAGATGTGACGTTGTTTTATAGTTTATTTAATGAAATTTTTTTTCCTAATGGGACTGACTTGCGGTTACTTTTCGCTATGGGACAATTTGACTTGGTATTGTTTTTCATTTTCCTTGGATAAACCACCTTTTTTCAATAGCACAGCTCAAAAAACGTAGAAAGATAAACTAAATAATGCTGCTAACTCAAAATTGCTGAAAATACAGAAAAGACTGACTTGCGGCTACCGGCAGTGCAGCTATTAAAATTCGGTGCCACCATAAATACCGTTCCGTTAAGATCGCCAAACGTGAAAGCAACATAACAAACTCACTATACTTACAGATCCAAAACAAAGCAGCGCTTCAGATGAAACCATTGAAAGTGACAAATCAAAGCAGAAATCACAACTGACACAACCAGGAGTTGATTCACCGGCATCGAAGTCCGAAAACTCCGTTATTAGCACTGTGCTTGGTGGACTCTTCCAATCGACCAACATGTTGATGTCCAAAGCGCCCAAACCGAGTAAATCGGATTCAACGCCCAAATTAGCTTTCGAATCTATTAAATACTCATACACGGACTATGCCAAAGTTGATCACAGGTTAAAACTTTACCTCTACCAGAATCTCTTTGAAGATGCGAATGAAACATTGAAGTGGCTTGTTTCTTGTGTTATCTTTGACGAAAATCAACTGGATAAGTGGCCCACTGGGTTTGATGGTTTGTTCATCATGTCAACTACCAAATTCTATGTGATGAAGAAGATTGCTGCTGAAAAGTATGTCTAGTAGGGTGCTTAATGTTGGCCTAAGGTTTCTAATATTGGGCCCATATATAAATTTCAATAGAAAACATTTGTTGTCCATTGTTTTACGAGAAAAAAAAAACAGAACATTTTTATCGATTGGCCATTATCATTAGATCCATAGGCCAACATTAGAGCCATTTCCCCTATTGCAGTTAAAAATTGGCAGGTTTTAATACTCGGTATGATTTTTTTGTTATAGCGATGAACCATCAACATGGATGAAGAAACATCTTTCCGGTACGATAGATCGTGTTGGAATAGCTCAAGTGCTTCCATGGAAAATTGGAATGAAATTCGTAATCAGTGCAGTAGGGGGAATTCACATTATTCTGCAGGACATCTTAAGAACTGATTGCCTTATTCTATTTTTTGCAGGTATTAATTGTCAATGCTCAGGAGGTTTGTATGAGTTGAAAAATAATCAGTTTATATGTTTTCACAGATAATCCTCTACCGGAGTACTGCACAGTTGATTATCAACCATCGGAACTACTCACAAACAAGCTCAGCAAGGCGACTGGAGGCGAAATCGTCAAAATTCTGATGGTCATAAACTTTTGCGACGTGCTATCAGATGACGTGCTACAAAGTGTACAGTTGTGCACCTTATTGTTAACAGATAGTCATCTCTATCTAGCAGCGGATATCAAATGGCTCAATGAAAATAGCAAATATCAAATCGAAGCAAAATTTACGCAGCTCATGACAAATCTAGTCGAGCTGGAAGACATCCACAGTCTTTCCTGTCGTTTCAATTTTATGGATGAACAGGAGGATAAGTACGAAACATGGCGAATCGATTTTGCCACAGTCACCGCCAAAGAAAGCGCCGTCTCGACAATATGTAACTCGTGGGAAAAAATCTTTGGAGTGCCTTTGATTAATAGTACGAATAATAGCAACAGCAATAATATTAATAATAACGATAGTAGTTTGGCATCTAATAGCAGTCGCTTTAATGATAGCAAAATCATCAACAATTACAACAATTGATGTAAGAATTCACCGTCCTTGCTCTGTTTCACATCAATTGAAGTCATCTTTCGTTGGATAAGTTTTGGGAATCAATTGTAGAATAATTTGCGTGTTTATAGTTTGTCACATGTGTTTAAACATATAGAAAGTGATATTAGGTCTATTAAAAAAAGTGTTTTACCAATTATTTGATTAGTGTTATCGATTGTGTAGTAAGATATTTATACCAATTTTACTTCAACCCAATAATGTACTGTATAAAAGAAGAAATGTGATCGTAATAGACAGTCTCAATATATTTAAAAATGTATTCATTGGCTACCTGACCCGAATAAATTTTAATATCGATGAAACGCGTGTTTTTTGTTAACATTGATAGGTAATTTGACAATCTAACCGATACTTCCCCATATTGCTTAATCTTTTGTCCTTAGTTGGGTTCAAGTCTTACGTATTTTCTTTACGAAAATAAAATGCATAATAATTACAATATTCGTTAAAAATTAGTATATTGGGAAATAAAAATCGATTACTATTGTTTCCATATCATTTATTCATTGTCACCCATATTCTTGTTTTCGTTCGAAACGTATATTTCATACATTTTTTTGTATGAAGTAACGGTTCGAATCCGAGAATATGGGTGTTTATCTTTGTTGATGTATCAAGCGGAAATTTCAGTTTAATTTTCGGAAATAAATTCGCGACGAACTTTTTTGGGTTCCATACCTATCTTGTTTGGGGTTTTTATTTGCAACTGACAAAAACAAAGGAACATAATGTGCGGGAATTTACTAGCGTGAGGGAGTGGTTGGTTGATGTACTCTAAAACAATTTGCTCTAAACAAACTCCCCATCTTGAGGCAGGAGCCTCAATATCTTAAGCTTTCAGGCAGAATTAAGGCAGGCTTCTACTTGTGTGAGAATAGTATGCAGCTGTTCGAAGGTTTGCTGTCCACGACTGAGCACCTTGTATAAGTGCGTTTTGACGCTCTTCACTGCCGCCTCCAACAAACCACCCATGTGGGGTCCACTTGATGGATACGTTCGAAGAAAAGCGGCTTGCTTGAGCTCTAAATTCATCGGATTGGAAAAACTCCTGCATCTGGCGATCAGCACCGATGAAATTTGTCCCATTGTCGGACCAAATCTCTACATAAACCACGAGGAGCGATAAACCTCTTGAGCGCTTCAATGAATACGGCGGTCGACAAATCATTGGCAGCCTCTAGGTGCATAGATTTAGTGGAACTGCAGCATTTAACTCAAAACGTGGTAATTTAATTTGCTTGATGTGTAACTCGTTCAACCGAACGGCCATAGACTACTGCGGCATATGCGGACTCTGATGCGTCTGAGAACCCAACAAGCTGCGTTCTTCCTTCGTGATTAACAATCCAACGTGGTATACGGAACCTTTTCCACCAGATGAATCTTGTTTTTAACGCCAACCCACTCTTCCTCAATTGCTGCGGGAAGTGCACACTTTTTTTGCCGATATTGGCACCACCGAGCAGAGCAGGCTCGGCATTTATTTTTACTGAGATCTCAGCAAAATTTATGTGTGTTAGTCGAGATCTCGGCAAAATCCGCGTTTGTTAACTGAATCTCGGCAATTTTTTCACTGAGATCCAGCAAAATAGATTGCTGAGCTGCTCGGTGATGCCCATCTCGGCAAAAAAGTGTGCACTTCCCACCCCAGTGATAGCAAACTTTGCCTTGCTTCAGTTGAGTCCGAGACGCGTCATCCAAGCTCCACTGATCAGCGACGCGGTGGAGCAGGAATCGATCATGGCTCTCTCTATCTGAAAAGAACCACTCTTACCTCGAATCTTAATGAGTGCCGTAGGTAGCACCGCAACATTGGTAGGCGGCTGTGTCAGAAGTACATCCGCTTTGAAGCTCGAGACCTAATTCGTAGAGCAAACTTCCTGTACCGCTGGCTCTGAGGCCGGTGAGCTGAATGCCAATTGGATTGACGGCGCTTGCACTAAACGCGCTGCCTGGCTATCACCCTGTTAATAGAGGAGCATGTAATGTTGCTGATTGCAGGTATTGATCCTACCCGTAGACTTCGATGAACAATTCTTCACTGAGTGCGACGGCCTGAGGCAGTTGAAGCACAGTCTTGACTTCTGCACTAAAGGCTGGCGCACAATGCATAAGTTTCTGGGTTTTTTGACAGAGCAGCATGGGATAACTGTAAAAAAAACCAGAAAACTTATCCACTTATGAGAACGTGTTCCCTTTTCGATTTTTTCCAAAAGGAAGTGAATGAGCCACAGGTAACGCGATTCGTTCTGGTCACCCATAGCTCTCAGTTGTCTAATAACTTCGTCGCATGTCGTTACTAGTTTCCGAAGGCTGCTCGGGTGCGTAGATGACACTACTGGCTGTTCAAGGAATTCCTTCACTAGCGAGAAAACGGTGTACTTATGTTGATCATATCGTTCCACTAACTTGTCCCACACTTGGTTGTAATTCGCATTCGTGATCGCAAACGAGCTCACCAATGCCTTAGCTTCACCGTCAAGGTATGAAAGGAGATACTGCAGCTTTTGTGAGTCACGTAACTGTGGTGGATAGAGTTGATGTGGAATGATAATGATAAATGAATAATAACTTTATTTGAAGGCACAACAATTTGATAATTAAATCAAGGAATTAAGGAATTGAACATTCAATATTTGTAGAATCTAGTTAGCGTGAAAGATGTTAGAAGTGAAAGAAAAGAAGAGAGTATGAAAACAAAATATTACTTTGTGACGGGAAATCCCAACACAGCGGTCAGCGCTGAGTGAAGCAAGAGAAATTATATAGGGTGTAAATACGGCAAACCTAAGCTCGCTGAATCATTCTTGTGACGAATTTTAAAGGCGACGGACAAGCAGCAGCAGCAGCAGCAGGAAAAACAGCACAGGACCGCAGCAGCAGCAGAAAAAGCAACACAGGAACACAGTAGCAGCAGTCAGCAGAAGCAGCAGCAGTCGAAGCAGAACAGCCGAGATTCGTGTAGTCGTGACCGAGGCTGGAAACCTCGGTCCAGTCTCGATAATTCCCACTAAAGATTTGTCAGAGGTCTGTCAGGATCACGGGTGTAGGAGAAGGACTGCACTGTGTGGAGTCGGAGCCTTCCTAACTAAGAAGAACATTTGATTCCACTTAAATAATTTTGGTATCCTTGACATGAAATAAGTGGAATTAAATGGAAGATAACCCTTTTTGCTTTTTTATTAAGCATTCCGCCAATTTCATTACATCATTATGATGGCTACCAAGCCTATGGGATTTTTTCCTTATTAGAGATTGAATAGATTTTTCACCTTTAATAAAACCTTTGGTTATTGTTGGTTGGGTGGGTTCCGATTCTGCACATTGTGGTTTCGTTTTTGTACCTGTGATCTTGACATTTTTGCCTAGGGGGTTGGATTTTTTATGGGTCTTTAGTGGGAATGCCACTGATGAAGACTGTACATTGTAGTCGAAATACGTATCTGTCATGGATACCAAATTATTTAAGTGGTATTAAATGATAACCCTTTTTGCTGTTTTATTTTTTTGCAACTTCACAAACAGTTTGGTGATTCACCGAACTGTTTTCCAAACGTTCAGCTGTTGAAATTTCAGTAAAATTTCACCGAAATCTGTGAAATATTCTAAGTGTACAGCTATCAAAATTTGTGTGGATACATATGAAGAAATGTAAGAAAAATATGAACAAAAAGATTGCTTTTCCCATATAATCTTCAAATCGTTTGTGCAAAGTCATTTTTCAACTAAATGAGTTCAAATTTTGGGACGATGATCAGGACTCAATTTGGAACCGTTTAAGAACTGTGTTTCATGCTCGAAAATATCTTAAAAGGTGAAGAATTTTAAAGTATTTGTTCTACGAACTTTTCACGCATATGATATAAAAATGTGTAGTGAACATAATGTTCCTCATACTGTTCTAGAAATTTAGTTCATACATAGTTTTCGTGTAGATTCCATAGATTGAGAGATAAAAATCAGAAAAGAGGCCGTTATAGCTAAAATTCACAAGACAACAGAGCTAATAAAAGTTTCAATTAGATGGACAGAACATAGTTGCATTGCTTTTCAATGACGACCGATGACTGTTTCATTGATAGATGACATTTTTTAGAAATATGAATCCTCAGTAGACGTGTTTTTTTTTTATCAAAGGCTAGTTAACTCGAGCCATAACAGCAATTTATAAAATAACGAACATTTTGGATGGCTCGAGTTTACTTGTTGATTGGAGCGAGGGGGACGACTCTATCTACGATGCAAAAAAGATTGTGTTTTGCTGTGGCTAGCTGCGCGCACGCTGAGTAGATAGAAAGAAGATTGATGGCGATTCTGAAGATTTCCCGCAAAAAGATGATGAGCGATGCAAGTAGATGCGACAAATGAAAAAAGATTTTTCGAAGATTGATTCGCTACTATGAGATTTGTTGAGCATCTAAACTTGAGATTTAGATGTGTCGCCCCCCTCGGATTGGAGGGTGTCGTACGTTGAGCATTGGTTCAGCTGCAGTGGCACAAAGTGATGCTTGTCGAAAGTCCCCTAGCTGGGCAGTTAACGCACTCGTTTGGCTTGAAACTGCAGCTTGGTTTGACAGGAGCAACCGTTGTGTTTCCAGCAGTGCCGAAACTGCATACCGGAGTATTTCTTTAAAAAAAGAGGGGGCGACCCCGGCGTAGTCGTTAGCATCCATACCTCTCACGCCAAAGTCACGAGTTCAAATCTCAAGAGCGTTAAAGTGACTATATATAAAAAAAAGATTCAGAAGCGAAAACATTTTTGGAAACAATTTTAATGAATTTTGGCACCACAGGAATTTTCAACTCTGTAAGAAAAAGTCTCCTGGTGGAGTGCTCATTGCCATCTATGCTGTCTTTACTTCTGAAGAAATCATAATAAATAAGCACAAAGAATTCGAAAATGTCTGGGTCAAAGCACTTATTGCAGGTGAAACACACATTTTTTTCTTCGGTGTATTTTCCACCTGAACATGCCCACAAGCAGTCTTTTGAACTATTTTTTGCAAATTGTTGAAAATATAATGTCAAATATGGAACCAGAAGTAAAACGTAATTTGATGTAAAAATAAAATTGTTCCCTACTGCAGGTTCCCCGGGGATACTTTGGTGGTTTCTGAAGTGGCTAATGTGGTCAATGATCCATTCAAAGTCTATAAAAAGCCTATTGATGAAAAACCTTAAAGAAAGAGGTGATGCATGGCATGTTTTGAGTGAATAAATGAACTGACCGCACTCAGAACCATATCTCAGTTAATTTTGGGCCACTTTGGTGCGTCATTCGCTTTGAAGATGGTTATATTTTT